ATAAATTCAGTGTATAAAGTTGAAATTTCCATTTCATATTGATATTATGTATTGTAAATGTAATTTGTATGAAGACATTTTAAGAAGTCTGCCCCATAGAATGCCACAAGATACAGTCCTAAGCATCCATTAACTTCCTGCACCTCTTACCAGGTTGTCACTTTATCTTAAGTGTGTTTGGCGGAAGTAGAAAAATATTATGAAATCGTTTCGCATTAACGATTGTCGCTTAAGTATTTCAATGTAAAAATCAAGCACAAAGTTTTGTGGTACGAGGTTCGCAGCTGTTGTCAAACGCGAGGCCGGGCGGGTGAACCGACGCGGCGGGTTTTTTATTATCTATTCCCGTTACCCATACAGCCATTTAAACATTAAAGTCCACGGCTGAACATAGGCCTCCCCAATAGATTGCCTCATAGGAGGGGATATTTGCCATAGTTGCCACGCTCGGCGAGCGGGTTAGCAGATTTTAATTTTAGTCGTTATTAGAAAGACGCTGCTACTCTTCTCCTGATTTGTTTCTTTCTGTCCACTCCTACGACACCCACAAGATGTGGAGTAGTAGATATTACACCGTTTGCAATTTGTAATCAGTTAGAGAACCATGCTTTTTTATCAACTTCGCCAAATAGACTAGTTGGGAGACGTCTGACTTTGATTGCAAGTACAAGGCTGCCACTCGAGAACCTTTCTTCACCAGCGGCAGACAATCTTTCGAGCTATATCGCCTGCCTATTGTCACTTAAGCTTACTGATCCTTTGTTGAATTTCGGTAACTGTAGTTCTACTGCGGATATCTCCCGAAACTCGGAGAAACTTCAAGCATAGCCTTCTCCATAGCTCACTGGTTCTTAACACTACCAACTTGTTGTTAAATAAAAATTTTAATAGTGCAATTGTTATTACATGAACTATTTGCGTACTTCCAGGCGACCGATCTTACAAAGCCAGTGGACAAGAAAATGTACAAAGGCACAAACCCGACCTGCCACGACTTTAACACGGTCACGATGACGCCGGATAGTGTATCCTTAGTTATAGGCTTCTCCACCGGACAAATACAGCTTATAGACCCAATTAAGAAGGAATTAAGTAAATTGTATAATGAAGAGGTGAGTTTCATTTCAATATTACTATCAATTAGGAAATACTAATGCTATCCCGTGTAGTGGCGGACAATAATACCGATTCACCCATATCTTCCCTTGGGTGTCTAAGAGGAGACAATAGGAAACTGAGGCAGAAGATGGACAGGAGCATATTTCTGATAACTGCAAAATAACAAAAAATACTGTGGTTGCTAACCCGCTCGCCAAGCGCGGCAACTATGGCAATATACCCCCCCATGATGGGAGTTACGAAGAGACGGCCCCCAGTCCCCGGCGGCCCCGCTATTCCTGGCTACTGCTTAAAACCTTAATCCTTGCTTTTGATCGTAAATTCGCATCAGAAGTCCTAGGATTAAGTAAAAATAACTTGCGCATTCTAGCGAAAGCCCTGACTGGATACTGTTGTCTTAAAAAGCACATGTCTATCCTGGGACTAAGCAACTCAAGAATGTGCCTGTTCTATTTCTTAACGGAAGAAACGCCTCTGCACATCTTAACTGATTGTGGACCCTTAATACGCAAACGCAACACTCATCTGGGAAACTATGTACTCCGCCCAGAAGAAGTGAAATTACTCATAGCTAAGCAACTCCTTCTATTCATTGAAGACGCTTAGCAATGAACTATAGCCATAGCAATTATTACAATAGATCTTTTAGGTTACAGTGATACTGGTCTCTCTATCTAGATCTGCATAGTTGTTCGCACATCAAAAAAAATGGTGAGAGGCATACTGAACCTAAACGTTAAGTTGGAGAGGTCACATCTAATGAAGTCAACTCCCCCCTCGTAGTCTAAGCCCCGAAAACTTTCAGCTCGAGTTATACCTTAACTTAATTATTAACAATTTTCCCTCCAGTGGATACCACTACTACCATTACTACCATTACTGCCACTCTTGATAGACGGGTTAGTTTTATATTTTATGTTGTTATTTGGAAGATGCTGCTGCTCCTGATTTGTGGATGTCAATCCTCTCATAAATTGCTTGATCTAAATATGACCTTGTAGTGGTGAAGAAAATCCACTACCGGAAATGAAACAGCAAATGGGTAGCAACATATTCAGATAACAACTCAAGATAATAAAAATTATGGTTGCTAATGCGTTGACATCTATGGAGGAGGCTTATGTTTACCAGATAACTTTTGTAAGCTATGATGATGAAATATTACGACCTGCACTATTTGGCGATTATAGCAAATTCAAAATCAATTTTCATACGTGGTCGAGCCACACTGCAGCTATATTATGGTTGTAGCACGAATGGGTCGGCTCGACCGGGGAAGGACCACGCTCGCGCATAATACCAGCGTAAAATAGCTGTCTAATACTGCTGTGTTTCGTATAGTGAGTGTAGAGATCCTGAGACCCTTTTTTACTGGAAATGAGGCATTCCATCTTAGTCCACAGGGGTGACAACACATCTGCGATTTGAATCTTAATTAGGGATAAATGTAGATGTGTATGGGCCACAGCATCTACTTACTATCAGGTGGACTGTGTGCTCGTTTGTCACCCTTATTCTATAAAAAAAATATAGTGAACATCACTCATGAGTCATGCCATGCACCAATACAAAAGTCTTAAAATTCATTTTAGCAATTTTGTTTTTAATTTTCAGAGACTGATAGACAAAACGCGCGTTACTTGCATCAAGTGGGTGCCGGGGTCTAGTAATCTCTTCATAGCAGCACACGCATCCGGTCAACTGTATGTCTACAATGAGGAGTTAACCTGTGGAACGGCCACACCACACTACCAGCTGTTCAAACAAGGAGATGGCTACTCAATACACACATGTAGAACCAAATCTACCAGAAATCCACTGTATAGGTGGGTTATAGGCATAGAAGGCAGCTGTATAAATGAATTTTCATTCTCACCCTGTGGTACCAACTTAGCTGTAGTTTCCCAAGATGGCTTCCTAAGGGTGTTCCATTACGACACAATGGAACTGATCGGCAGAGCTCGGTCGTACTTTGGTGGATTCCTGTGTGTGTGCTGGTCACCTGATGGAAAGTATGTGGTGGTGGGCGGAGAGGACGATTTGGTTACTGTCTGGTCCTTCAGCGAACGAAGGGTAGTGGCTCGAGGACAGGGCCATAGATCGTGGGTCTCCGTGGTAGCATTCGACCCGTATGTAGTCAGTTTTAGCGAAGTTGACAATGAGGATGTTGCGGAAGAAGACAAGAAAAGTGAAAGTGTGCAGTGTTATAGGTTAGGCAGTGTTTCGCAGGACACACAGTTGTGCTTGTGGGACTTGACTGAAGATGTTTTAAGGCCACCGGTTAGAGCGAGAGCCTCTGCTCATCTGTCTCCAAACAGTCAGCACTTTTCCCCTAATGGAGTACCTGGAGGAAAGATTCCAACAAAATGCCCAAAAACAACCAAGATAGGGCACAAGCACGCAGAGCTCAGCGGCCAGAATAACGCATCAGGAGAACCGTCTGGAGCGAAACCTGCAGCCAAGACGAAAGCAAACAATGTTTCAACATTAAACATCAGCGTTGGTAAAGCAAAAGAAGAGAATTCTGGATCGCTTGGTGCAAACTTCACACAACGTTTAGCGGGCTTTTCGTTCGGCGAGAGGAGATCCGACCACAGACGGAACTTCAGTCTGACGAAGCCCACTGAAAAAGCATCCGCCACCAACACGGTGGCACTAAGAGGAAAGTCAGCGGGGACGACGGGCGACTCCTACGACCCATTGAAGCTAATAGGGACGCCTTCGTGTCCTCGATTTGATGAGTGTCCTGTCCTAGAGCCGTTGGTGTGCAAGAAGATAGCACATGAGAGACTGACAGCACTTTTATTTAGAGCGGAGTACTTTGTGACGGCTTGTGCAGATGGTTGTGTGAACACTTGGGCGAGACCTACACGTACACATAATGGGGACGCTCGGCCGCGACGATGCGACCGTATCGACCTCGTCGACTAATTGGGAGCTCCCCTTCGCTTTACACATGTGACTGATGTGGCTAAAGTGGAGTGGGAATGCAGTGTTCCAACAACTCTATGTAGTCCAATAGATCCATTACAAAACCTCTGAGTAAGTAGATATTTAGTTAATATCAATTGTAAAATGGTGCAGTCTGTTTAATTGTACACTTATGTTTCTCAGGTCATATTTATTGGTAACGAGTTACTTGCATTTATATTTACAGTATAAGTATACTAGATATATTCACATTCTGGTGCCCATATAACAAACATGTAAATGCATTTTAAAAAGCTCGAAAGAAAATTGTTAGTGGTCGTTCCACGAGCGCGAGAATCGCGACGAATCCGCGCTTCTATCGTCGGGTAATCTCACGTACAAGTGAAAGTGATTATTCCGCCGTTAAAGTATTTTCGTCGCGACCGGTAACGGAATCGCTGCTTTTCTGCGATGAGGCGTTGTGACATAGTTTTGTTGAAAGAGTTTAGTTTTGCCAGACGAGAGTGAAATATGTAGTGTCATAATATGTATACATGTCTCCATAATAAATAAAATAATTATTTATTATGTATGTAGTATGGTTGGGTGCTTGTGCTACTTGCACAAGCATCCCACCGAGTGAATATACAGTTAGTGTTATTAAGAAAAGAAAAAAAGCTCGGTTAATAGACACATCATTTTTTACTGCGTCATGAAAGTCATGGGTCATTACCATATGAATTATGAAGAATATTCAAACTATCCAAATTGGTTTGAAGAGGAATATTTAATGTCAATTCCTGTGTTCGATGAAATGTTTAGTTTACTGTCAAGAAAATTATCAAAGCTTGATACTACTATGAGAAAATCTATCGGGTCATGAAAGACTAGCAGTAACATTAAATAAGCTTAAAATATTTTTTTTTTCATTTTAGTTAAACATACACTTTGATTGTTGCAAAACATATAGTTCACATTCCATCAAAGTGTTCTAACATTTGAGCAATATCATTGTCGTTTGTTGGTGTAGATGTACGAGAATATGCTTCTGCCAATAAAAATAGTATGTGATAGATGATTGGTATGTATTTCTTAATTACAGTCGCAATCTCAGTTCTGGCATCAATTAAATAATCATCATTTATTTTGTCCATGACTGTTAGCATGGAACAAAACAAAGTCTCAGTTCCATGCTCATCACCATATTGTTGTTGAACATTATTTCTTTGCATATCTATACTCTCGCGCATAACATTCGATATCTTTTTAACTAATATTTCAGAACCATTTGAACTAATATTTTTTTTTAAATTAGATGTGGATGGTTTCAGTAAGACTGGGGGTGGTGTTAACCGAACTATTGTCATCATCAAAAATATCTTGACTCTCCTTATTGAACATGTTTAAGGATGTTAAAGCGTGTTCTGTATGTTTCACTAAAAGAAGTAATAAATCATAATAGATATACTTTCGTCTTTTTGAAGCAGCTTGACCTGATTTTGAACTTTGACTGTAACTCCTTACGAAACTGATCCCTTAAAGATTTCCATTTTGTCATTAACTCCAGTCCGGAATCATTAATTAATTTAAAAAAACACACATTAATAATCGAACAATTCAATGGAGTTTTCGTCTTCTAACCGACTTCAAAGAAGGAGGAGATTATATATCCAACTGAATATTTTTGTGAAAATGAATAGTGAACCTATTTTTTCATTTTACAGATATCTCACGACTGGAACAAGTTATAAACGCCTTAAGAATACTTACAAAATTTCTAAAAAAACGTTAGCGAAAGTAATGAAAGATGTGGAATTATATGGAGTGTTAGCACCCACAGAAATGGCCGTGCCAAACAAAGAATCCAGAAAAAGAATCTCAGAGGAATTTAAAGACAATGAAAATATCCCACATTGTTTGGGAGCTTTAGATGGCAAACACATTCGAATTCAGTGTCCCTCAAATTCCGGCTCTATACTTTAATTATAAAAAGTACAACTCTATTGTTATATTGGCTTTAGTGGATTCGAATTTTTTTTTCTGTGTGGGTTCTTACGGCCGTGAAAATGATTTCACTGTTTTTCAGTTTTCAATACTAGGTAAAAAGCTAAATGAAGTTCTTGATTTACAAGAAGAAGAAGAACTGGTATTTTATGGACCCAAAATGCCATATGCGATTGTAGCCGATGATGATGATGATGATGTCGGTTTATCAAAATTTAATGCGACCATAACCAGATCGATGTTTACCTTTGGACAAAAAAAGTTTCAACTATAGACTGTCTCGTGCGAGACGTTACGTTTAATGTGTCTTCGGAAAGGTGGCATGAAAATTTCGCATATTTCATAACACAATAAATCTTCAACCGGACAATGCAATTCTTATAATAAAATCAGCTTGTTTTGCACAACTTAATGATGCGTCGAGCATTAAATGCCAATGATATGAAAAATGTACAGATGGCAACAATGAAAACGTAATATCCAATTTACAACATATGACACTTAAACTTCAAAGGACAAGAAATTCGGGGTTGCATATTCGAAATTTATTCAAAGACTAGCGATTCGCCTCGGCTTTACACTGGTGATTTTTGGCTCTCGACAATAGCGCCACCTTGCCGGGTCCATCTGAGTTCTTAAACCATCCAGGGAACACAAACACAAAAAAGTTCATCAAAATCGGTCGAGCCGTATCCGAGTTTTTCCTAGAAGACAGCAGTTGATTATATGAGACATTATTTTAACACAGTAAATAAAGTAAACTATACGTAATGATTTTGGGCCCAACAAATACCTTTTCCTTTAGAGGTTAAGTCATTCCATTCCACGAACCATAAAGGTTAGAGAACAGGAGAACGATCGCCGTAGAAAATAGTGTCCCAGAAATATGGACACCATAACTGAGGCGCTGCGATGATTAAGTTCGGTCAATAAAAGTAATTTTCAGTCTATTTTTTTTGATCAGATGCTAAACCACTTGCACATCTACGCACAATAAAATATTTCTCCATTTTTTAATGTTTCTTTTTGTCAAAAATTACAAAATTACGGAGCATGAAAATTTTATCATCAAAAATGAAATGAAAATTTGTACAATATTCAACTAACTTCACCTACTTGTACTCATAAACACCTAACTTCGCAGTCACTACTCACCGACGTCAGCGCCGTATATATTCTACAATTTTCAAGGACAGGCGGACTATGCTTTAGTATGTAGTGATCGTTCTCCTGTTCTCTAACCTTCATGCCACGAACACTTCCTATATCAAACCAATACTTTGTTTTAATTTCCCTGTTCCGGTACTCTGGCCACTGCACATCGTAAGACTGCCTGTTCATTGAGGCGAAGCGAGACTGCGGAGCGGAGAAACTGAGAAATATTAACCAATAGGACTGCACAAAATCTCTGCTCCACTCCAGTAGACAGGGATTTGCGAGCTAGTTTAAAAATTCATACATTTCGCGCGCCGCGCGGGGGGGGGGGGCAACGGACCGTCCTCAGGGGAGAAGGGGTGGGAATATAAGGGGGGGGGGAGTATATCGCTAGTTTGACCAGCACACAGGCCGCAACACCGCTCGCTCCGTTCCGCTGCCTTGCTTCGCGTTAATGCATGGACAACCTAAAGCGCAGGTCTGTCTCTCACTTCAAGCACAATCTTTTCAACGTCAAACATTGGTTATTGTTTAAAAAGTTGTCAATACGTCCTTGCTTGGCAGAAAGGCAACGCAGAAATGACACGGGCGGCACGCATTCGTCACATCGCCGCGATAACATTGTCGTGTGTACGCACGTTCTTATATAGTGTATAGAAATAGGTGGCACGACGATAATATCGACGCGATTCTCTCGCTCTTGGAGAGGGCCCCTTAGGAAGACAGCTGATACTAATTTATAGTGTTCATTTTCAACTTATCGTTTCAATAAATTTATTATAAGAGTATGTGCTCAAGCACACATATGCTTCTAAAATCATTTGCAAGCGACAATATGGTTTTAGGTGCATATGTGTGCGTTAGTCCGTGTCAAGAAGTTTAGCATGTTTTTAACATTACGTGAAATGGCGTACATATCTCTTTTTTTGAAAATATTTACTAGAAAGGTGTTATTTTAAACAGACTGTATACAGAGGTAAAATTATATAAGCATTTATTTAAAGCAGTTTTATATTAAGGCGATAAAATTGTTTTGTTATTCCATTGTTATGAGGGCTTTCACAATTTTTCTGCCACCAGGGTGGGCGACACTTATGAATTTGGTGAAATATTTAACAGATCTCATGGTGAAGTTAAATTGTTAGAATAGAATAAAAATTAATATTTCTTTCTGAAATATTAATTAGATTAGAAGTGGATAAACAAAACTACACATATTCCTAAACTTAGGAGAACTAAAGAAAACGATTCCACTATTTTTAAGTTTTCAATACTAGATCAAAAGCTAAACGAAGTTCTTGATTTACCAGAAGAAGAAGAACTGGTATTTTATGGACCCAAAACGCTATATGTAATTGTAGTCGATGAGACCTTCGGCATTCATCGAAATTTAATGCGACCGTATCCAGGTTCATTTTGATTGAAAGCAGACGCTTTTGAACAAAAAAGTTTGAACTATAGACTGTCTTATGTGAGACTTTACGTGGAATGTGTCTTCGAACAACTTGCATGAAAATTTCGCATATTTCATAACACAAATCTTCAACCGGGCAATGTAATTCTTATAATAAAATAAGCTTGTTTTGCACAACTTTATGAAGCGTCGAGCATTAAATGCCACTTAAGCTGGCTTTCCACTATGGGTTATATAGTATATCCCGAAATATAAATTATATCCCGCGATTGTCCTTCACACTGTGAGATATATCTTTTAACCAGTGTGCGTGGGGGGGGGGGGGGGGGGTGGTTGTGGGGTTTATATTTTGTGGGGGGGGGGTTTTTTTTTTTTGGGGGGTGAGGTATTTTTTTTTTTTTTGTTTATTTTTTTTTTTTCTTGGTGGGAAGTGAGGTTTGGGGGGTAAAGTAAGAGGAGTGCCCCTGATAGAAAAAATAAAAATATTAAAATATTTAAAATTTACCCCCATTATACAAAGGAAAAAAAAAGGGTTGCTATTGTTGGGTTTTATAAAATTGGAATCAAAAAACAAAAAATTAAAAACACAGCGCGGGGTTTTTTTTAATAAAAAAGAAAAAAATTTTTTTTATTAAACGGAAATTTTCAACTTGTGATACAACAATGATATTGACCATCTGCATGACAAATAACTTCACCTAGCGACATCTGGTGAGCGTAAAATTATTAGCCCTCATTATAGTTACTTTGGTAATGTGTTGCGTCTTGTGTGAGAGATACTTGTTAATTGAATCATGTGATGCTTATAAGTTAATATGATTATATTGTTTCCTGTGATTTTGTTGTGTTATAAAATAAAAATCTTTATAATGTAGTTGCATCATGTAATGACTCATAAAACTCAAGAATACTTGATATATCTATAATAAGTCCCACCAAAATCGTACACATGAACAAGCAAAAATGTTTTAAATAGTAATTTAAAAATCGTATAAAAATAAAATTGGTTGTCTGTAAAGTTGGTTTACGGACGGTAGTTTAACGTGACAATGTCACAACAAAACATTGATGAAGTGATTGCATACTTTAAGGAAGAGAGATAGATGCGGCGCAAGCCGATCGTGCAGCTCTCTCGCTCCAATCATAACGTTACAAGGCGCGTAACGTTTACAATGAGTCATCCTTTTTCGTGCGTGCAGCCGGCGTTCATCGATTTATTAGACGTTGTCACGTCAAGAAACCCAAAGAGTGATATATAACCTATATCATTATATACAACACGTAACATAATTAACGCACTTTGAGAAAGTAGTTTGTTAAAAATCGTTTACTGAATCGATTCCTATATTTTTAATATAGGTAATTTTTTATCTCAAAAATAATATAAACCACGTAAATTACAGTCACACTAAATCTGTACAGTCAAAACAAACTGAAATGGACCGTAACTTAAGGCATTAAGACTTTTAAGAGTGCAGTTTTATTTGTATTATTATTAATTCTGTCATTCAATAAAAATAAAGAAAAATGAACTTTATTTCAAGCACGTTAAGTCTTTGCGTTCTTGGATTTGTACTGTGACCGCAACATTCTTCCGGAATTATTATAACTAATTTGATAAATAATCAGTGCATACAAATGTTTAACTAAAATTCAGTGTATGTATTATGATTATAACATGATATACTAATTGGGGTGTCTGGGGGTGTGCGTTAATTACGTTACATATTGTATATTATTATATTAAAACGAACCTAAAGACGCCTCATATGTCAAAATCCATCAAGCAGTATA